TAGGTGGATCTGCATATTATTACTCGAGGAACTACTGCCACTTTAAAGGATATAATAAATTATAACTAAACAACAGACAGTATAATATAAGTCTTGATACATCTAATACACTCGTCTGGTCATTTCTTGTCACGTAATCAAGGGTATCTGAAGTACTATGGAATCAATGTAGGCTTATCTTCTGCTTTATGCCTGCCTTTCCCTCAACAGCAAAAACTGTAGAGAAATCGATTAATAGCTATGCATGTGTTAATAGGTAACTAAAACACTTTCACCCACGCAGGCACGCTTTGGGGATTTTGACTCCATATACTGTTAACACGCTGTTAATTCTACTTTTAATGTATATGATGCTTTCCGCTTCTTTAGCGATAAAATACGCAATATCAAGTATTAGCGAATCTCGACCAGGACAGTTTTGGTGAAAATTGAAACCACGTGAAAATATCTTGGTGACAAATGACCCTGTAAAGTGAAGTCGCCGTGCAATGCATCAATAATATTTTCATGAATATGAAATGTTCCTGTTTACTTTAGTGGACATGCGACACGTAATATTCTGTACATTAGAATTAAGTTCGGATTTGATTGAAACATACCATCAATTATGATTAATTATGATGGATTTCCAGGAATTGCTGATCATTATGTGAAAAACCCAAGCAACCCAATATCGTGTAGAACTGCAACCATTTTGATGAATAAGTTTACACAACCAATTTATATCAATACAAGGTAGAACTGCTGTGATTTTCAGACAGATCAAGAGACGCAAGATTAGAGAAATCAACCGAAAGGATAATATTTAGAAAATAACGAAAATTAGTCTAGACAGTGAACTGTACACATTATCAGGTAGAATCACTATGATATATTAAGAAATATCGAGAGAGGTAAGTTCAGGCGGTTCATTGAAGAGACTGCCATGCAGAAGCGATATCATATTTTTGGACTGATCAAAATGAGTAAATTTAGACAGTCTATTCACCATAGTATCAGGCTGAACTGCGATCCTATATTTAGACCTGGCAAGCGTGGTTACACTAGAGAACCCACTGAACACATCAGGGTAAACTGCAATCATATTTTTGGACAGATCAAGATAAGTTTAAACAGTCCACAGACGAACATGTCCAATATCTCTGTCCAATATCACATGCACAGCTGCAAACCCCCCTAAAAAAGTTTAGTTTAAAATATACAAAATAATAGATGTTATAATCTGTTGATTTTTAATAATGTCTCGATTATTTTATAAAATTACAACGTTCAGTATGCGTTCTTCTGGTGGTATTGTTATAAAGTTCGATGGACGGTCACTAACTCAGATTTATCTGCTTTTAATAAATCATTTATTAGGATTCTTGTTTATTACATTTAAAATCAGCGACACAATACGTCGGGATCCAACACTTTCACTGACCCCAGTTTTATAAATATGTTTGAACAAGGACTCGTTGGTGATGCTAGAAGCCAAAACGTTGGAAGAGCCCATTTGGTCCAAATTAAACTTCAAACCGAATATTATATAAAATAATCTTACCTGTAGGACATACCTTCTGCGGCGGCGCACCTGATCATCTTTTAATACGCACACGGCCCCTGCTGTCTTTGTCTGCATTATGGACGTTAACAAAAGCATCTGTCTCCCTAAGGTCTTTGTTTTTCTCGCGGTCACCTATCTATTTCCAGGTAGTCCGTTTGCATCTCAATACGTACCGAAGGCGAAAGTTGTAATTCAGATAACGAACAAGGGTATCCTGAATAAAATGAAGTGGTAATGCCAATAAAGCGAAAACAATTACTTGTTTTATGAGCAGCACCAAACATTATCCGATCTTTTTCTGACCAGTGTCGCCGAAGCAATGTCTGGGAGATCACAGCGATCCCATATATATTTGAATATAATTCGCATGAATGAATAAAGGTTCCACACAGAGGCCGGGCACCTTGTATGCGATGAATTTCCCGACTATCATTTTGTGCTTTATTAAGTGTGTTCATGTGTATAATATCGCGCAAAATTGTTACGTGATGCAACGTATACCAACGGACCCGATATGATCACGAATACATTTCGTACGTGCTGTAACTTCATTGGCTACTAAACTAATATTGATGAAAACCATGTTTTGTCGAAACCATTGAGATGACGTTAATACAAACCAAACCTATTCTGACAGAAAGTAAACTACATTATAACCGAAATTAGGATATTTGTCAGTTGAGCTCGGTATTATATATAATTTAAATACAATAGTGGCTGGTCCATGTGTACTAACTCGTTACGACGGTTTCAAACAGAAATTAAAAAATATTCGTCGAAATCATGTATATGGAATCTACCTTTGCACACTTTGATAATTGTCTGAGGCGACTCATGTTCCAATGCGTTTGGTGACAAAAGAGAGCGGAATATTTCGATGTGATGTGGACCTCATGCTCATTTGAAAAAGACTTCCAACAATTACGAATACTATTTCAGTTCGGCGTTCCCGGTGTATCAAATGGAACAAAAATGGTATATTCAATGGTCTTTCATATGACAACACTACATTTCCTTATGATAATTGTTTTGTTTTTCAATTCCAAACCTATCCAGTACATCAAATAGAACTATGAAATGTCAAGTGTCCTCTCACAAAGTAACACAAAACGTTCTCATAGTGACGCTAACATAGGCGTGAACACCTGTATCATTCATACGTCCAAATGACAACACATTTCCAGAGTCATGTTTTAGGTAGTAACGAGTACATGTATATAGCACTAAACTTTAAGCTTACAAAGGGAAGAATTTAACAAACGTTCAACTGTCAAAGCAGTAAAAGCATAAACAAATATATGATGATGTTATATAACATGACATGCAAGGTCTAAGGTACACGTACTTCTAAATGACTGACTTTTTCACCATTATCAATTCTGTTGATTCTACTTGGTTAAACAATGTCAGGACGTAAAATCCCGAAATGTGTATGATGAATATATATGTCTATATACATTTATAGATTTACAAACTAGAGGGTTAATGTTAAATGGGTAAAAGACTGGAAAATGGATACATAGATCGCTACAAACATAGTGTAAACCGTCTCCTTGACAATTTAAAAGATAACGTTCAATGTAGGTGTCGATTAGTAGAAATCCTTTTTTTTTATACTTGAACTTATCTGGGTTATAAACAGATATGTTTTCCAATCGGTCATTTTTGAGGCACCCGCCATAGCATTCTGCCCGGTCGCAATATACTGACAACGTGTGAACCAGTTGTGATCACTTTAAATGCTGCACGTTAATCAGATAACAACAACTAAGGACTTTGGTATTCTCCGGCAATGAACAGAACCCATTGCCTTTCTCATGACCTAGGCGAACGTTCAACGCTACAGCCAAAAGTGAGGTATTGCCATGCAGGGCGAGGTTCAATACCCAGCCTTTATGGTGGATGGAGAAAAGAGAAATAAGGAAAAGTGCAAACAGAAACAAAGAACAGACACTATTTCATTTTCTTTTGTTATTTTTTTATTATTAATATTTCAAAAATATATGTATATCAAAATACATTATCACAAACATAACGTATACCGTGTACATTGTTGAAGCTATTTTGTTATTATTTTGAAACTCGATTGTTCATTTATAATGTCAGAAAATGGCAGTTTATAAAAAGGGAGTAACAGAGGTTAGAACAGCTAATCTAAACCATAATACTTGTTGTCTTACCGCCCGCTCCTCGCCCACACAATCCAGCAATTGATCCAGACGTTCTCAGACCTCATTTATCAACGCATAACAAAGCTTAGCGTAAACATGTTCTTTCAATGTAATGTTACTTGAGACTAAATGTAAAATTTAACTTTAGAAAATGATAAAAACCATCAGACACTGATTGTTCTAAGACGGAGATAAAACGACAAAAAATACTAATTTTATTGACATCACGAGGCTTGAAAATTCCATATCGTTAGTAAATTGTGTGGCTTCGTTGAGCAAAAATAATGCGAACATTACGTAACTGTATATTGTCGTGACACACAACTATTGTTGTACTCTAAGAATAGAGATCTTAAACAAAACAAAGCTTCTACTGTACTCTATGCCGTCATACTTTGAGACTTGGAACAATTAAGCGTGTAACACGGTATAGGTTTAACAGCGTCGTAATATGTTCAAATCTCTGGTTTAAGATTCAGTTATTACGTTTTAAGTACAAATGAGTGTATTACATATGTACTCCTTTAAATCTGACATTTCGTTGTGTTTTTAGAAATTGACACTTTTCATATTGATTAAAATCCATAATTAGTTCTTATACTGCAAATCATTCAATATTTGGCTAAAAATCGTAGTAAATGTTATAATCGGTGACATTAACGCACGTACAACGGAACAAAAAGATTAAATAAATCATACGCACCTTACAAATGCATTATGCACGTCACATTTCAAAACAATAGCTAAAACATTACTTTTCTGAATAATTATAAGTCAGTTAATGACATTTGATATCATATTGAATAATAACAAAACACTTAGTATCGAACTGAAAAATATTCAGAATGCTATATACAATATTTCAAATTATGGTCTTGTAATGAAAACGAAATTTGGCTCCGAGACTGTCGACTTGGTCTTTAGATCAATATTCGAAGTAGTGTGTGATGTCATGGCATCATGACTCAGCCTCACTGGGACGCTTAACATCGGAATTGTCCCCTAAACTACACTCTCAGACGTCTAAATGAGTCAGGATTCGTCATCAGTTCACTTGCGTATAAAACAATAACTAGAATAAATGATAAAACAGGGCACGAGAGAAGTGGTACAGAAAGAAAGAAAAGACAATAATGTAGTAGAAAGTATGTTCATGAGAGAAAGACTTCAAAATATGTACATGATTGAAAGCAATTTTTATATTAAAAATTTTGCAGCGAAAATATTTGATCCCAAAAATAACAAATAATAATGGAATGCGTGCATCAAATTAAAGTATTAAATTTCTTAGGAATACATGTAGTTTTATTCTGGTCACACATGAAACCTCTTGAATAACATAAATTTCATCAAATAAACCGTACGCTAAAATTGCTAAAAGTTATACAGTGAGAGTGAATGGATACTAACTACCAGATGAAAATACTCTAACAACGCAAAATGGGACTTTTGTGACAAGGATTGTCTCCCTTTGATGACCAAGGTCAAAAGGTCACTTTGGAACATTTTTTTTAAATTTAATATCACAGTGTTTCACATATTGACGGAGACAGATGTGTCTGCGTTCACATAATACTGGCCATCATTATATGTAGGTATATATGTGTACCAAAGTTACAAGTTACAAACAATTAATTTGAATGGTACAGCAATTTGTGTCTTTGTTCCCATACAAAGTCAGCACCAATAGAAAATATTCACATATCCAAACGTATATGTACAAATTCCACATTCTTTTGTGAACACAAAATAAACATGTTATATGCTGTAAAGGCAAAACTTTGGCACCTTGACTAACACCTTTCTTATTCATTCGTGGAAACATTGTTTTGATTCTTAACAACACCAAAATCCATCCTGAAAAACCATACGAATAAACTGTTCATTCGGAAAACACGAAATTGTGTTCATTCAGAAGATGCCTTGATTATGTATTCAGAACAGCACTAAGTTCTTCATTCTGAAGAACATTACCAAAAACAGAATTCGGAACACCTCTTGGTTTCGCCTTCTTCCATTGTATAACAACCATGTTATTGTACTTGCGACAAGTACCATTCAAAAGTTCAACATTCTCACAAAATTTCATGCAATTGTGTATCTGTTAGAAGCCATTCAGTAAAAGAATATTTTTCCATCACTCTCGAGATTCTTCAATGACGTCATCCTGATCACAATCATCACATAAGACAATGCTTGGGTCACTCACGGTTTCTTCGCAAACAAATTAGATCATTCCTCTTTGACGGCCAGGTAAATACACGTTGATATTCCCGCTAGCAGCAGAAAGAACAGTATCACCAGGAACGTGTAGAGGAAAGTCACGTAGCATGGGCGACCATTTTCGGCAGTCGGTGTCAACGGCTCCGTCTGGGGAAAAAAATATCAAATGTAGTAACAAATCTGAATAGTACAACATTAGGAAAATATGCACGATTGAAATATATCAATATTGTATTATTGACGAGAATCTAGGCTTAATTCCTACCGATAACAGGTGTATGTTGAATGTAAGTGTTGGTAACTCCAGATAGAGAATTGTGAGTCCAAATTAAACTTACCAGCGGGCGGTAGACAGGGAGATAGTTTTGGTAGTCTTGTTTTGACATGATTGAAGTCACAGATTTGCAATAGACTTGGTTGTCTGCAACAGCTTCCGGGACGAATACTGTCACCATGTCAACAGCCTTCTGTTTTGATGCCGCTTTCTCTTTAGGAACGAGGCTCTCTTCCATTCCATCGCGAGGCTTTTGACTGCCGAGGACAAGGTTTCTTGAGTACATCTTATCGCTGTTGATATAAAAAGTTAAGACATTTGAAAATGGCATTATGTTATATGCTGGTTTTCGGCATTATATGTAGGTATATATGTTTACCAAGGTGACAAGTTACAAACAATTAATTTAAATGGTACAGCAATTTGTTTCTTTGTTCCCATACAAAGTCAGCACCAATAGAATATATTCACACATCCAAACGTTATACATGTATTATCTTTTACTCTGTCTATAACAGTGTTCGTTATAGACATTCGTAAGAAATGGAATTTCATCTTTAAAAATAGAATATATCGTTTTGGTTTGAATATTCAGGAAAAGTCACTGATTTTTTCGCAATGTGCTTCAATACTTATTGTCTGTGTAACTAGCAAGAGCTAAGCGTGGACAGCATTAAAACAAATTTAAATGATTGACGAAATATTGTTAAAGGGACATAAATCAGGATCAGAAAAATTATATAATGTATCCGAAAATGAGTTAATCGGGGTGTGAAATGGTGTAAAACCATGTCCAAGTGAGTTTATAAGTGGAGGGCCTGTTTGTTTCTGAAGCCATTTTATTATCAAAATCAATTATTGTTTATTTCGACGAGCACTTTATATACTTGTCACAAGTCCCGAATGGTATGTGTTCAAAAAAGATCTATAAGAAGCTATTGTCACGTCAGTATATGTAAAGCTAGGGTACGCCTGGGGCGGAAGCGCATGTGTTTTTGCCGATCTACTGAGCTTTTGCGGACGGATCTTATTTCGTAGTATCTTTATATCAAATACACATATATATATATGTACACAAGATCCTTCACACAAGTGTCACCCTCTGTTACACTAGTTTCAAAATATACCGACAGGTGGCGTTAAAGTCACACAGCTGCTAACTGAATATATAATTTACAAAATCTGTTTGTCAACAAGTGAGGTATGCGACCTTTATAAACCCTGAAATATGATCGTAGATTGTCAACAGTGTTCTGCTATGATAGATAGTACTATATATATATATACTTCACAATGAGTGCTGATTCACCTAGTATAGCGGAAACCATGGGGGTCATATACCGGGGACGTTCAGTGGACTTTAGTCAAGTCAAGAGAGGGTTACTAAATTCAACTTGTACAAGATGTTCACTTAATTAATTGTATCGTAAATATAAAGTATATCACTTTAGAAAAGAATATGTAAGCGGTTGTTCAGGAACACACTAATAAGATTATATTGCCATATCTATGCGATGTTGTTTTGACACTTATGACATTTAGAAAAGCGTGTTCAGCTTAAAATTGAAATTTCCAAAAAAAATTAGCCTAGCTTAATTCACACAAGTAACAAAATAATTGTGTTCTTTTCTTGTTTATATCAGTTTCATTGTAAATTGAGTTCAATTTTCATTTCATTTGTACACAAATCGTAATTATTACTTTATCGTTATTTTGAGGTTAAGCTAACAAGTCGTTAACGATTATTGAGCTGTTTATTCAAAGGATAAACTAGTTTGGGGTGAGTGGTAGATGAAATGGAAGGGTTTCTGGAAAATGGCGGGGGGCGGNTTGGCAGAGAAATATACCATAGAGACGTATATATTCATCTATGACTATATATATATACTTTATATAGAAAATGGCTTAAAATTATTTACGTACAAGATATATATGATATATTTCAAATCTTATAAAATCAAAAGATGAAATTAAATGGCAAATAGGGGCAGTGGTATATTTGGGAGCGAGTTAATTTGGTCGCCTAAGTCATAAGTATGACACAATATACAACTAGCTAGAGGAAACCAAACTTCATTCTATCACAACAGTTGACTATAACGATGATTGCGATCATAGATAAACACAATTAATATTTATATCATTTTTATCATATAATTTGATAAATATTACTGGACTTCACATGTGATTTGTACCCAAAGAACGTTAACCTCCTAAAGTCACTCCCTATACTTGTGCTAGATACATGTCAGTCACACCGATAGTGTCCTTTGTCCGTGTGTGGCAGGAAATGTTACTTTGTTCCGTCAAAATAATGTAAATTAAGGTTAATTAAACTTTACAAACATAAAATATATAATTGTACAAATATCCGATATTAATTAGTAAGACTTACCTTGTGGTTAGGCCTAGAAACAAGAATATATCTCACTTCGTGTGTGTGTTATGTATTACTCAATTTCGACAATAACAGTACCTCACAAAGAGCTAATGCCTCGACCAATCAGATCTATCTTAGCGGGGGATTCTTGTCTACGTCATACAGGGTCAAACTATTTTAAGAATAAACAGGAAATGTCCTTAGAACGTTCACCTCTGTAAACTTCAGTCGATCTTGGTTTTGCCCATTTTTCTTAAATAGAATATTTTTAATTTTATTATTGTCGGTTTAATATCGATAATGGTTTCGTTTTGAAAAAAATGGGAACAAAACTGGTTACGTAATTAAATAGGTCAAATCCAATGACGTAGTTTATTAGCTGGATTCTGTTCACCCCAAACAAACCCTATATGTGTATATTGAGACAGTGAGGTGGGCGGAGACGACAAAAGTGCCCATGCGTGGTTGGTTATTTTATTTTATTCTGGATTTAGCAGGGTGTGGGTGACCACTAACATTACTAATTGTTTTTCCCCTGTAATTAAAACAAACGTTTTTATATGAAAAAGTTCATTCAGATCAGTACTGCATAGGGCATTTTAAATCCGTGATAAAATAAATAGAAAAATCCACATTTTTTTTGATACTAGGACTTAGATAGATCTTATTTAATTCCGTGACAATGACAACAGGAATAAATATTCAATTGGAAATCCCTCACGTTAGGGCGTGCAAAATATTTAGTTGTTGCGTAATTTACGCGAATATAGTATTTTTTTTAATCTGACGTTATTCAGAATGGAAAACACATATTCGATGTACTCTATTTCTAACCAATTATACAGAAATGGAAGTCGATCATGTCCTGTATCTATAAAGCTAGTGAAGCGTTAATTATACATGCAGTGTATCTGTGAAGTAAACCGAAACTAACACAGAGCGGAATCTCCTTTATATAAATATTTACACTGCTGATGTCATTGTCAAGATATGTATTACTTCCTTTTTAAGATCAAGTCTATTTTTTGAAAAGTTCCAAACGAGATTTACATATAGAAAGCTACGAAACTTTCGTTTTGTACTTGTTTAAGAACAACTAAACAAGTTATAAAATTTGATACGTAAAAGGGAATATACTGAACCGTAGTACAGGTGTTTTTAATGTTTATGGTGTTGTGGTGTTATCTAAAACACAAATTTGGCCCAGGTCACATATATGTGCTGTACAATTATTAACGTTGAACTGGTGTATACCTAATTTAAATGTATAGGTTTAATAGTTCAATATCAAGCTTGGACTACGTGTATGAGGATTGTAACCTTACTAAAAATATCCGGTTTTTTTGTGAACTCTTAATTGTACAACCTTAATTGTACCATGGACTTAGATAACAATCTAATTCCATGATTGTACAATCTAAATGAACAAAACAATTGCCCAGGACAGATGTGTATCTAAAATAAAGATGTTTCATCATGATTTACTAATGTTGAATGGTATAGACTTCATATCAATGAATATGTTTCATCGTTTAATCTCTAGGACTGCATATATGTACGTGTATAAAGATACTGAACTTGGAGAAAAAAATCCCCGTTTAATTAACTGAGAAAACCCCTCAAAACTTGATGAAATCGTTTCTGGATTCGCATGGTAAGGAATTGCTGTTCAGAATATCAACATATATTGAGAAGGCATGTGTAAACGTGTGTTTGTCCACTCTTACTGTCCGATATGTTAAGTTAAACCAGAGACATATGATACAAGTTATGTCTCTGGTTAAACCATATAGGTCACACAGTCATGTAAACTGGATTTTTTCCCGCAAACATACATGTTTTACAGAATTCATATAAGCATAACGTATATCTTCTACATACCTTTGTGCCATTGCCAAATAAGACGTCTTATGAAATATCTTCTTATTGTTCGCTATGAAATATCAATCCACGTTATCGATTACTCGGTTCCCGAATGATGTCAGATATGAAGACAGGTATGACTGACCGTCTTATAATCATAGTTTATATATGCCTTAGAGCTAACCTGTCACGGGAGAGTTAAATTCAATCGTTAACATAATCTCATAATTGGCCAGGAGTACCTCAATCAGTCCAAATGTCTTTGACACCTCTTTCAGCCCCGCCCATTGTTCCGCTTGACGGGTCGCGCGAAGCGCAAGTTAATTCCCCAAGGGATGGGGCTTCTACTATTCAACAGATGTGAACAAAAGAAATATTATTCAAACAAAAAAGGAGAAGGTTTAACAAAATCAAAGTGACCGCCCGAACATTTCCCCGGGGTACCTGTCACCTTCATACAGGGTACAAACGATTTGTTTATTTTATGTTACATGTGTGTAAACAAAAGATATGTTTTACGATGTAACTATTGTTTACAAAGATATGTTTTTATACGTCACCGGTATTTTACATATATGGACATCTGTGCAAATGCAAGACAAACATTTGGGGCCAAACAACACTAAAACAGATGTTCATATAAAGGACTACATTAATCCACGGAATTAGATTAGATGTTATCTCCGTGATTCAACATAAAAGTTTAGATTAGATAAAATAGCAAACGAATTGGTTATTAAATATCATATTACATCTGACCGTATGTTTTATTGAATGTGCATAAGCATTGTATAGTTACCGTATTTACAAACTTAAAATTTTATTTTTTATTTTTGAAAGGCGCATTCGATCATAAGGTGACTGTAAATGGATGGTTGTAAAGAGAGTAACCTGGACATTACGGGCATACATTTCGTATTATTTTAATAAACTTTAGCAAAAAATGAGGTTTTGATGTAACTCTGAATTTAAACATGGAAGTTTTTATAACGAATTGACAACATGAATTTGTCCTCGAGTCAACAAAACGATTCCCCTTTAGATAACATACACAAAGTACAATTTTGTTTTGTAGACGTTTTAAAATAACTGATACTTATTTCTCTGATAAAATCAAACTTTAATTTAAACACTTTTCAGTGTTGTATATAAATTAAACAAAATGATCGAACAACAGTTCATATGCTCTCTCTCAACATCTACATGTAAGCATAAAGATGTGAAAACTGTTCAAATTAGAATGTTTAATTCTACCAGGGGCTTGGAATAAAAAAAACATACATCAGGCACAAAACAGAATTACCACACATGGAATTTACTTCACATGAAATGGTTATCTTAGACGAAATCAGGAAAGTTATATATATCTGCCAATATCTTTACTATACTTCCTGATAAATTAATTTCAGTTTCTCACTGTGATAACTGATCACTTAATTGACACTGTGGATACTTGTACAGTGGGTTGTTAGGAACACCAATCACTTGGTAATCGAACGATGTCAACTTATGATCACGGCTTATCTAAAGCTATCCTGTTGTGCATTTATAGGGAAGGGCGATAACGTTGTCTTTAAATAATGGATTTTCAGCCCAACATTCCCCTACTTGTTTTTAATCAACCCCATACTCAATTTTCCTAGATCTTGGTATAGGCTATATAAGTCTGTGGTATAGGCTTAATTTACGATGTGTTGTGTATATATATGAGTTAGAAGTCCATCGTGAGAATGTAGCTATATATTTGGACCTAAATTGGAGTGTTCAAATTCATTTCTGGATAGCCTAACTTCTCTGTAGTCAAACAAAGAGGTTTACACAATAAGGCCTACTTCTGACATACAAACTGAGCAATACGTTTCATCACGGACTTAGAGAGATGATAGTATAGCCCGTGGCATCATCGCAAGCCAATCTGATATAAATAGTCCAGCTAAGTCCCTAATATTTTAGAATGTTAGCATTAGCACGGAATTAGATTAGTTATTTGTTATCTAAGTCCGTGGCATTATTCATAATCATGGACTTAAATCTTATCTAATTTTCATGCTCGTAATTCTGAAGCGGTTATTCATGTGTATTATCTCACTCAATAGACACTACGCAATAGGCCTAACTGTCGTGTAACTATATATATAGACAGTTTTTAATATAGGAGTCTCGTTTGGCTTTTATTTCAGTACATTGGTCGTTGTGTAACTATATGTAATATAGGAGTCTCGTTTGACTTTTATTTCAGTACATTGATTGTTGTGTAACTATATGTAATATAGGAGTCTCGTTTGACTTTTGTTTCAGTACATTGATTGTTGTGTAACTTAAAGGATCCCTGTCCAACTGCCATTTCTTTTTTTAAAATATCAATTTTATTCCCCAATAAAATTTATCAGAAGACTGCGGGAGGTGGGGGCTAGCCCCGGGGTCAGCTTTTTGTTAACCATTTAGTGTCCTCGTGCGAGAGGGCTCTCATGATCCTCTAAAGTAAATCCATGCTACTCCGGCTACCATGCTACACATAAAATTATGTTTTTACTTTCATTCTTTCTGATCAAGTCTCTCATTCTATAAATATTTCATACAGTACCTTTTAATAAGACCTTTTTCATATTTTATAAGTGTAATCACGTAATTAGATCCAAGTCCGTGGTGTAATTGATCTTGACTTGACCATTTGGTTTTTACAAGTCACCCAAAACTGCTGATGATTTAAGAGAACATTTTAACTTTTTTATGTAATCCAATTGAACCTGTTGTCTTTTTGTTTGGCTTCACTACCAGTCAAAAAATCCCTAAAAGTGAATTTCTTTTTTAAAAGAAATTATTAACTAAAACAGTGCATTATGTATATGAAATTGATCAAGTGTCACCTTTAAATTGTTCAGTGGTCTAGTATTAAGCTATAGCAGAGACCTATTATAGGTCTCTGGCTATAGTATACATCTTATCAAAGGACAAGGCAGAGATCCCAAGCCGCAGCCTATATGTATTTACCTAGTTTTTTGTATCTAATGAAAGCTGAGCTAGGATTTACTGCCACGCCTCTATTAGTACAAATGAAATCAGTACATATACTGATAAGACCCTTCTTTTAAAAGCATCGCAACCACCTTTTAAAAAAATGAATTTCAATATTGTATATTAAATGCTTAATCAGCAAATTTCAACTAAATTCCAACTGCCCTTAACCCTTTCAACCCTATATAACTTTAGTAGACTCTACCATGCATTGATCTGGATGAGTCCATTATGGTATACAGTGGTGAAAGAGTTAAGAAAAAAGTCTAATGGAGTTTTTGCAAATATTTCCTCTTTTTCATTATTTTTATGGTGATAAGAATAATTTCATGATAAGGTACATACTTTAATAAACATATTATATTTATTAATTGAATATAGAAAGAATTGAGGAAGAAATAATTATGAAATATCTATCAATTTTATTCTTAAATCAAATGAAGTAAACACCTATATTATAATATATACCCCTTTAATGTAGAAAGCAAACATTCCATAACCTTGATTTCTACATAAAGAGGTAGTAATTGATGTCCTGCAGTCTCAAACAAAATTGTAAATTCTCAACCTCAAAAGCTAGCCCCTATTTAAACTGATGTCTTTACCATGATACACAGTAATTGTTCCATTAATTACTCGAGGAATTGTTATAATGAACCTGAAAACAGAAACAGGAGTGGGTAATTATTGGAAATAATACAATTCATATTTACAAATGTATCAATCTTGCATGGATGAGTGCAAGAATTTAATAGCCCATATAACCACCAAGACAGTAAAACCTTGATATCCCATCCTTATCACATCAAGTAAAATCTTGATTTAATGCCCTCGACACTAAAACCTCAATATAATGCGCTCTCACTAGACTCTAAAACCTCGATATAATGCGCTCTCACTAGACTCTAAAACCTCAATATATTGCCCTCTCCTTTATCACTTTAGAGGGGAACTGTGATCGAGTTTAGTGCCCCTAATTTATTACTATACAGTAAAAATTCAATATAATGCCATATGTTAAATAAAACCTTGATGGTATAAATGTCATATCACTTATTGCCAACGTTTGTCAACAACCTTTTACATTCATCAGTTTTCACAAATCTGATATTGTTCCTGAATATATATCTGAATCCCTTTATAACGCCAAAATGCCACTGGAAGGGTTTTATTGTGTGGTAGACAAGGGTTGACTGAACTGAATAAACCCAGCCTTTCTAGCCCCCAACCACTTAACAATTAAAAACTGTTAGGATTAGAGAGGGGCCATTTCATTCTGTATTTATTGTGTGTAGCCCCGTTCAACTGAAGTGTGTGGAAAGAGACAATGCATCTTCCAAGTGGTGAAGACATTTTCAAAATATAAAATATGATAACTTAAGTCTCTGAAATAGGGTCGATATAGTCGACAATTAGGATGCAGGTGCGTGATCATCAAGCCGTGCAATGTATATGGCAGTTTCTGTGAAAATATACTGCAAAAAGTAAATCAACAAATTATTTGTAACATAGACACACAAATCACAAAGGAAGGGCAGGAAATAACCCTAAAAATTGTATGTTACCTGCCAGTTTCTAGTTATGAAAGAACACATACAATGTGAATCGAGGGACGCGTTTCCTTGCTATACATCCATTAGGGTAAAACGTAACCGTAAACTCTGATCAATCATGCTTTGAAGTTGAAGTGACTTTTGTGAGTGGAGAGCAGACTGCATTGAGTTCAGGTACACCAGAGTTATCTCCCCTTAAGATACACATGTTTTACTTTATTTATATTGAAGATATTCTCAGTTTCTAATAAAAGTGAGGAGACTAACTTTATGTTTTTCACTAGTACTTATATGTTAATCACGTTTTCCTTTCAAATGACATGTCCTTATGAGAACAGGTCAGTCCATCCCCACCCCAAAAAATGTGGCGACAGAGAATGCTGTTCAGAATATTGTGACGTCACAATGTCACAACTCCATGCAATCTTCTGTGATTTTTTTACACTAAACCCTGCTCTCTGATTGGTATAGGTTTATTATGAAAATAACAAAAAGTAAAAATTAACAACTTTATATTAACTGTAAAACCTTAGGGATATTTTACTGGTAAAATGTAATAAATGTATAAATATTGGTAACACATTCCGTTACATTGTAAGAGTATATATATATAGCATAACAGTATCCAAAAAATTTTGGAATAAATATATAAACATATATATATTAAATGATAACAAATTACCAGTATACTAATCATAGTATATTAATCATCAAAAGGCACAATGCAACAAATTCAATTGCAATTCATTGATTCCACCAGAGACCTATACATATGTAATATATGTCTGATTCCACCAGAGACATATACATATGTAATATATGTCTGATTCCACCAGTGGAGGTTTTCTTCTAAAATAATGATGGTCAGAAGTTAAATATATAGTTCGTTTGGCGTCCATGACATCTATTGCACTGATATGGCATTGAGATTTTAGTATTGTTGTTTCCTCCCAAGCAGTTTCAGGTTCCTTATTTTGAAAGTCCCTAGGATAGCTGTAGGAATCAAACTAACTCTTTGCCACGTTGACCCCGACAAATCAGAAGGGATGTTATTTTTCATTGAATAACAGATGAGTCATATATTGTAAAATACATACAGAAGGGAAAGTTGAACAGCGCTCTTCAATGAAATTTCTACAGACCAATGGCCACATGATCTAAAGACTCACTCCAAAATCATCCCTGTAGCTTATAATTAATGACGCTTCAGAAGTGACTACACACCATTTAACCTGGCCAGGCTAACATACTGACATTCTTCTGTCAAGGGGTTAAGTGTATAACACTCCTTTCACTGTGTTAAGTCATAGATGGACACGACAGGCTACAGTTGTGTCAGGGTTCAGACTCGTGTTTTGCCAAGACTTCTGGCACAATGCTTCCCGCTGCTCCCTGGAAGTGAAATCTGAAACAGGAGCAATTCAAAAATTAGTAAGAGAATTGTTAGTTACATGCATAATTGTATTATACTGGTACATTGTACCAGGTTTTAAAAAATCATTATAACAAGTGGCAATTTATGTTTTCAATGGTCATTTTCCAATGGCAATCTTTATTTGATTTTCAGATTTTACATGTTTTAATTTAATCTGAAGTACGAACTCTTAATGTCAGTTCTCTACTATTTAGTAATTTGAAGATTTTTACGTTAAGTAGCTTTCAACTGCAATTTAAGTGACAATACTGTATTTCTAAATTCCTTTTATATTGTTACATTCATGCGATACATTCATGTGATAAATATTATTTCCTCAATCTGGACAGGATGTAGATTTAGTTTTTTCTTTGGACACTGAGGAACAAATGTTCCTAATACACTTTTCTGTCTATAAGGTCTAGCAGAGTTGACACTTTTTGTACCCTGTTGCCTGGTAGGTGCAACTTTGACTCTAACAGTTGGGGGGGGGGGGGGGGGG